TGACCCAGCAGCCAGCGCACCAACAATCACATACACTGCCCTCAAATACTAAATTCAATATTTGTACATGTGCCACTTTTAGACGTTGGTATTGTCTATCAGGCTACATCTTGCCACTGGAGGGAGTTCATTAGCATCTATTGATCAAGTGAAATGAACAACATGTTTACCAAATACTTTAATGATACTCCTAGAAGCTGTAAATGACACAGATTAGTGTGTGTGTGTGGGTTTGGAGTGACACTTGATGCAATGGAGGAGGCACAGGGAGGAGAGGTGACAGAGGAGTGATAATGGAGGCGGTGCCAGTTAGAGGGGAGAACACACTTCAAGAGGCGGAGGCAGAGCCAGGTAAAGTGGGCTCCAGGTGAATGAAGAGGAAAGGGTGTCGTGCTGTGTGGAGGAGAGGGGAGAGAGAGAGAAGGGTGGGGGTATATTAAAAATGCAGCAGTGGGGAGCAGGCCAGGGATTCACAGTAATTAGATGACAAAACGGCGGCGGGCTGGAGATGAGAGAGAGGGGTCACACACAATGCCACTGCCGCCGGGTAATTTGTAAGTGTCAATCACGGGGGCTGCCAGGGGAACAGGCCGGGGAGAGGGGTGCACGATACACAGAGAGGAGGGGAGAGGCAGAGGATGGAAGGTACAGCAGAGGAGAGGAGGAAAACTCAACGACAATGAGAACAGACAATATGCGGTTTTACAGTTTCTACCAAGTATGAAATCAAAGCTTGTTGTTATAGAAATAGGCTCCACTTTTAAGCACTGCACTGTTATGTGCATGAAACTTGAAAATGCAAAACAGAAATCATGACAGAAATCACATGGTGTGTATAAAATGTTTTCTCTTAAGTTAGTGGTTAAAAGTTTTGTCATTCAATTGTTTTTAAAACCACATTCTTTAAGTTCACTCTTGTAAAGCAATTACCTTGCAAACAGTTTGATGTGCATGTCTGGATAACTGTATTAGGATGAACTTAGAAACTGTATTTTCAGTCTAATTGCTAATGTGTAACATGAAATGTTACCCCTATTGGCACTGCAGGTGAATAGAGTTTTATATGTGTGTCGGATATGATCAAACAGTTAGGAAACAAAATCAAAGATTCTCTTTCTTCAGTTTTTAAATGTTTCACATGTTTTGTCATTTACACTTGGGACTAGAACAAAGCTTTGCCTAACTTGTGACCGTCTGTGGGTGATTAAAATGTTTATGTGCAACTTCATTGACAGAGTTGGATATGCAAAGCATAAAAAAATACAGTTTATGGCATTAACCGGATTAGTTGCATATGTAAATATTTGTCATGTTAGTTGTGAGCTTTGATAGACAGGCGAATGTGGTACTGACAAGATGTGTGCCAGGCTTTTTTATTCTATACTGAGAGCAGGGACAATAGGCACAGTTGCTGGCATAATTCCAGAAAACCCACGTACAAGGCTTTAGCACAATGGAGCGGCAGCGCAGCAGACTGTTAAGGTTCACAGCCTACACATGCACACAGGTTGATGAAACCTTCCTCAACACAGCAAGGTAAAAGCACAAGGTAAAAATGTACACACGATCTCCATACACATGCAAAACACTGGGCAGGTATTGTGTCTGTGGCATGACATAACAGCACTGACATACCAGACGTTACTCAGGGGAGCACAGCAGGCATCTTTATCTGCTGCACGCACCTGGACCTGTGAATGCATTCATGTGTAGTAATTTCACTTCATGAAAATCATATAACATGTAATACCATCCCAGTGTGTTGAAGAGTTTAAAAAAGTGTTATCAGAAGCTAGGGGAAATACCTCTTTGGATCATAAGGTGGCGTATTCACATTTTTGAGAAAAAACTGCATTCAAACCTCAAGAAATCACAAAAAAAGGAAAAGTTACCATGTAGAAACTTCCATATTCAAATGTCATTACATGCTATTAAGAAATAAAGGGAGACAATTCTTAATGTGTTCGTAGTTGTAAGGTGTATTAAATAAATATGCACAATTAAAGGCAATTAAAATTCTAAGATAAACTGCATGAAAAGGAGAATTCAACAAAAACACACGTGAGACAAAGATAGAGGGGTAACCTCTATCTTAATTAAAAGGAATTTGGAGCACAGTAACATACACATGCACACAAAGCACCTTTGGCTGCTATTTAATTGGGAAATGATTAAACTCCTTTTTCTCTGTTTATTCCTCAGTCAACAATTAGCAGCTCATAATTTGCAGCACAGAAATTTGTGACTTTTTCTCTTTTTGAAAGTACTGTCTCTGCTGAGTATCATTAGATTTATCTCTAGGTTGAGCCTAGACTTTGACATTTTTATATTTTCCAGTGGGTCTTTCCTATAACTATTGAGAATTAAACATATAATTTGGGCGCCTAACTCCGACAGCTGTGGAGTGTGTGTAACCTGACAGCCTGCTACACAATAGGGGTCCACGTGAGTGTGAACTCTGTTTGTTCCCACAGCTGCTATTAACAGCCGCCATCAGCCTTGTGCTAACCAAGTGAATAAATAAATAAGGCTTAAATCGTTCTGTTTACCTCTTGGTCTGTGATGATTAGTGGCACTGTGGACAAAAGACACAAAAGATTAGGTCTTGTTGGTCAAGAGAAAATATTGGTAGTAAACTCTAATGGAGGTGATGGAAACATTTGTTGAAATTTAAGTACACATATTCACTACTTGTCGTGGTAACAAATTACAATCAGCTCAATGATGACGCATGTTTAGATCAAGAGATATTTTTGTTTTATAGTCGGATCTATATGCCAACAGGAAACTAAACGTGTAAAATAAGAAGGCGGACATATTTTAAGTTAATAAAACAAGCACAACATTTTCCAAAGAATTCTGGTGTGATAAAATGTATTATTATTTAATAAATATCCCTTACTTCCTTTCCGAATGTAAATATTAAACACATTTTGTTTTACTAATCTCTGTTTTATGGCAAAAAAATAAAATACATTTAGCAAAATAAAAAGAAACAAATGGTTAACGTGTTGGTGTTTCATTATACATTGAGTAAAAAGTAATTTGCAGTAATTATAGTTTTAAGATTAAAAAGTCTCCTTTTTTTGAATGTTGAAATTGCATTGTTTACTCCTAAGTAAACAAAGAAAAAAAGAAAAATAAGTTTAAATTACAATAACTTAACTTTTTTGTGAACATTCACAGGAAGTATGTTGTAGAACCAGCACGCCAACACAATGTTGATGAAAACTGCACAGTGGAGACTATATGAGGGAACACAGGCGGAGGATAGAGGTGTGGAGGCTGCAGTAAGATGGAGAGAGACTGCCTACACATACTGTCAAGGCAGTTAATATAAAGCATGGAGATAAGGCCCCACAGACAAACACTGACCGAATCAGACATTTCAGCAGCGCAGCCCCAACTGTCAGTCAGCCTGAGAGACAGACCAACAATCAGCACTCTACCACTGATAAGGGCTCTACTGGGCGCGTGCAGGAAATAGCCAATCTGCAGCTGGCCTGGCAAACAAGCTAGCAGGCAGGGTGACTGAAAGTGGAGAGGTTAGGGAGGGGAGTGAATGCACAAAGACAACAAGTGAGAAGAGGAGGCCTATAAATGCAAAGCAAAATGTGGCCCTGGTTCACAACGAAGGACCTACCTGAGAAAGCGAGAAGAGGCAAAACAGTATGATATTTGAGGCTGAACCTCACACTACGCTCTCACACTGCACACCACTCACGAGGGAATCAAAGTGATAGAGAAAAAAAACTGAGGTGTGATAACCATGCTTAAAATAGTGCCTCTCCCCAGTTTTTTGTCACCTGGGAATAGCTTGCACTGAGAGAATGTGAGAACTTGGTTTAGACCAACACTTTACATTAATGATTTGCCAACAGCTTTGACTTCCTCATTCTTCACTACACTGTTTGGCTTTCTTCACTACACAATAGCTTCTTTTAATGTCCCTATTGATTAATGAAATTTAAAGCGCACGCATTTGAACAAATGAGTGAGGGATAACACTTTTAATGGAAAAGACCGTACTGGCTATGAAATTCCCCCAAAAAGAAAATAAACATGCAAAATGTTGGGGCAGATGCCTTTGGAAATAATCAGGGAGGCCAAAATGCAAGCCTAGAGTCACACTGGCCCCTATAGGTGGCACTGGGGAGTACAGGCTAGCTGCAACTTGGAAAGAATAATTCTCACAAACTAACCTTTGTCAAACAAGCCAAACAATCCAGGTTAAAACAGCTGGTTAACACTAGATTTGGAATTTGCCCAAATCTTTATAACCATTAAAAACAAAATTGCAGTCCTGTAATGATGACTGTGTGCATGCACCAGTGAGGACTTATCCAGAAAACAAGGAGATTTGTGAGAAGAAAAGGCCGAGAAGGAAGGTATGAGTGAAAGGGTTAACCTCCCTGCTTGCATGCTGCTTTCCCTTGCTCTGTCAAGCCCCATTAAACCTGCTACACTACAGCAATATGGTGCCATCAATTACAGGCACGCTGCCATCAGTGCAGGGCACGAAGGAGAGAAGAAGAGAGGCAGGAGCACATAAACAGGACAAACGGCCACATAAAAGACCAGCAGCTATATAAAGCCCTGCAGCCTGCCTCATCCAGAGCCACACAAACTAAAACAGACCCCTGAGTGAGTGTTGACTGCATCCTGCAGTTTGTCAATGAGGGAAGTTTAAATATACACACAGGAACAAAAATACAAAATTAATTTTACATTCACTTTCACACAAGAAAGACCGATACAAGGATGTTGAAGGTGATGTGCTGCTACTGCCCCCATGTGAGAGAAATTGCTTGATAAAATAATGATAAAAAATTAAATGCACGTTCAATTCAAATGATTAATTGATCTTCCAGAACAACTTCTTTCAAATGTTTCAAATGCTTTTACTGGAGTATTAAAATGTTCTGTGAAATGGTTTCTGTGACAAACAAATCAGTTAGTCTTATTTATGAACAAAACAACAACAACAAGAAAAAAACTACTCATCTGACAATTATGCTATAATTATTCAGTAGAAGCAAGTATAGTGCACAGTTCAAAACATGTACAACAAGCTTGCTTTATTACATTTCCAGAGCACTGGAGAATAATGCAAGCAATAAAACATGCAAATTTGAGTAGTACACAAATATAATGGAACAGTTATAATTTACAAAATGATGATACAAAGACTAAAAATCATACAAAAAATACAAAAAAAAAAAAACAGAAATGCTCATTTACCCACTAAACTGGATTCAGTGTGTGAGCCATACTGTTTTGAAATATAATCCACAAGACTTAGGCAACATGCTTGTCTTAGCAAATATATTCATTGTACATTTGTATATTTATAGAAAAATGCCAGATGTAGGTATTTGTCAAAATCCACCACTTGTTAGAAACCAAGAATCCCATTGACATGGATTAACTAAAACAATATAAAAAGTAAACACAAGAGCTATGGAATAACCCAACAAGCTAGTGGGTCACTACCATAGACTGTCACTACTAGTAAATACCTTTGTCATACTAATGTGTCTATATTCTTTTGTGAACAGTTAGCCTCTTTAAAAGGTTTAACACTGAGAACTCTATGAGGTGTGACAACACAATTCTGATCTCTATCCATAATGTGCATTTTGTTTTTCAACATTATATGCCAATAAATCAGACACATCAAATATTTATACATAACAAAATAAATGAGAGTTCAAAACAAGATAGGGTAAACACAACAATGAAAATGAATAAACCTGAATCTTTATGTAGAGTTTATCTGAGACGATGAACTACTGCTGCCAGAGCTCTTAGCCTTCTGCCCTCTATTGGCACTTGGTTGGCGTTGCACTCTCTGGGATGTGGGTTCTCTGCTTTTTTCACTGTGACTCATTCCAGATTTCCTTTGCCCTGTTGACACAGAGTGGATAAGATAGTGAAGTTACAAAGAAGATACCCATATCTGTATATAGCTCCAGAAAAAACATGAACATTGTATGGCATGAAAAAACAAATCACAGATGGAATAGGTAATTTAGTGTGATAAACTTCTAATGTGGATCAAAACCAACAAAAAGAAATGAGAAAATATATATTCAATACAGGGGAAACTACAACTACTGTACATACTCAAAATACATGCAGTAAAACAGAGCTAGGTGGGCAATTTAACACAAAGGGGCAGTGTCTAATACTATGAGTTAAAGCAAGCAAATGGTAAAATGGAGATGAATGAAATGGTGCAGTAAAGGGGACCTTGTGAGTGAGAGGAGTTAGCATCTTGGGGAGCGTAGACCACAATTTTAGTGTTGACTCTACTGGCTTTGGGCCCTGTAGTTGCAGTGGGGGCACTGGCTTTAGGGCTCTTTCCAGAGGCTAAAACTTCCTCTTCTTTAGGAAAAATTTACATGAAATACATTAAATGACTACAGTGCAGGTTATTTACTAATATGTAGACAAACTAGCACCCTTTGCCTGTCAGTGTTAAAAAAGATAGTTATGTGGATATGGATATATATGGACATCTGAATAAAAAAGATAACTTTTGTTATTTTATTACCAAGTGTGAAGTGTAAAGTTGGGTATATTAACATTATTTTTGTTATCCAATTGCTCATTGATTTACTTACATTATGTAGAGTGAACTAAAGAGGAACTGAATTTCATCAAACCTTAGTTAGTATATATCTAGTATATATCTATGAAAATGATGTTAAAAATGTTCCAAGGTTTCTCATTGAATTTACTTTGAAAAATATAAATATAGAAAAAACAAGTTCTCAAATGAATCCATAGAAGTATCTTGATAAGAAGCCCTCACCACGAGCTTCTGTAGGTGCAGTAGTAATAGTTGTGTGTGCAGCAGGTGAAGAGTCTGTGCCACACTCAGATACCCTCTGACCAGCACACATGGCTTTCAGAGTTTGAAAAACTGCCTGAGGTGCCACGTTCATCTTTAGCAGATCCAGAATTATCCTGTTTTAACATACAAGTCATATACGTTTATATATACTTTTCTTATACATAAATGTATGTATGTGTGTGTGTGTGTGTGTGTGTGTGTGTGTGTGTGTGTGTGTGTGTGTGTGTGTGTGTGTGTGTGTGTGTGTGTGTGTGTGTGTGTGTGTGTGTGTGTGTGTGTGTGTGTGTGTGTGTGTGTGTGTGTGTGTATAAAATACATGCACACACACACATTGTACATTTAAACTTTCAAACTTACTTAAAGACCTCCTGATCTATAATAATCCCTGCAGCTTGGGTCAACTCATAAAGCTCAGCCTCTTCTGGGCTTAGCACTTTTTTCTTCTTGATTGCATATTTCTGCACATTAGCAGACACCAGCAGAGCTGGAGAGTCGGGCGCGACGGTCAGCGGCGTTTGTTGAGACATTAAGCTAAATTACAAAACCAGAGAAATAAATATGACATAAATTAGCCAAGAGTATGCCATGTAACGAAATGCAACCAAGTATGTATTGAAATTCAGCAGAAATTGTCAGTACAGCCATTGACAAAAACGTACCGTTCGCTTTTTAGCTTCAGACGCACAAAAATTGCGTCACTTACTGGCGCAACATGCAAGCGCAAGAATGATTGTAATATAGAAATCGAAATACAGTCTATGTACTATGTCTCTAGACTATAGACTGTATAAATAATATACATATATATATGCTATGATCTAGAAATTATATCTCTATATGATTTCATAATTGTATGTATTTTCTCAAATAATTAGAAATGTGTTTAAAACTTATCCTTGTACAGTTACAAAATATAGACGCTTCAAATTATATGGAGGCGCCTTAAATTTTATGATGGCGAAATAGATAAGTTAAAAAAAAAAATTTAAAAAACTTTTACAATAATTGTACCGGAAGTAGTAAGTATCCAAACCTCTTTTCTTTTTTTTCTTTTTTTTTTTCTCGAGCTAGTTTGCTCTCTTCCAAGAATGGCCGCTGGAGGAATAAACAAGCAGGGTTCTGTAGCGGCGATGGAGCCGTGTATCCGACACGGCAGAGCAACAAATGGAAGCAGTGTTAAGGTCGTGACATTTCTTCGTGCAAAGCTAGCATTAAAAGATACATTTTTATTCGTAACTACTTTAATCCATTAAATAGACTAGTCTCCATGGGCTTGCGTCATTAGCTTGGAAAGCTGTTTATTGTTATTGTGTCATTTACTCCACAACTCGAACAGTCAGTAAAGAAAACTGCAGCCAGGTTTAATGTCTGGTTTTGTAGAATAGTCGAATGGTCGCCGTGCACATTGCCGAGCACTGTAAGCTATGGGTGATCTTCAATACCTTTAGTACAGCTACAGATTGCTTGATTTTTTTTAGCAGTTACCTATGGCAGTTCTCAGACCAACACAAGCTTTGGGCCCATAAAACTGTGCACCGGAATCTGACATCGTTTGCTGAACGCATTTATAAACACGTTGTATTTAATGCCCAGGTACTGGAATGTGGCGTGTGTGAAGATGTATTCTCTCTACAAGGAGATAAGGTTCCACGCCTTCTGCTTTGTGGTCATACAGTTTGTCATGACTGCCTGACCAGGTTACCCCTCCATGGCAGGGCAGTGCGCTGCCCATTCGACAGACAGGTTACTGAGTTGGGTGAGTGTAAGAATAGCATGGGACATTACTAACTGGGCTGAGCGAATAACAAATTGCTACCAAGTATTAACGAGTACTGATTCTGTAAGCACTGATTCAAAAAGCAGAGTTAATGCAAACTTTGTGTGTAACCCCCTTGTTCTATAAAATAGAAACTCTTACCCTGTCTGAAAAGGGAAAACACAAGATTTTAATTTACAGTTCACCCTGTTTAGTAGTACAGTCTGCTTTTCAAAAGTAATGCGATTCATGTCTATTCTTAAGGAGACTCTGGAGTTTGGGGTCTAAAGAAGAATTTTGCTCTGCTTGAACTTTTGGAACGACTTCAGAACGGCGCATCAAACCAGTCAGGGATGGCAGAGGATGTCCTTAAAGGCATGGGAGAAGTAAGGCATTAGTTTACTTAACTAATATTTAATAAACTGTCTTTAAAAAACAACAGAACCTTTTCATTTACCTGTGTTTTATTGTTTAGTGTATAATTCGCTGTGATGAGGATGAAAGCCACACAGCCTCCATGTATTGCACTGTATGTGCCACCCACTTGTGTGCCGAGTGCTCACAGATAACTCACTCCACTCGAACACTGGCTAAGCACCGCCGGGTGCCACTGGCTGACAAACCTCATGAGAAGATGCTGTGTCCACAGCACCAAGTCCATGCCATAGAATTTGTGTGCCTAGAAGAAGGCTGTCAATCAGGGCCACTCATGTGCTGTGTGTGTAAGGAGTATGGCAAACACCAAGGGCATAAGGTAAGCCACTACAACTCAGCTAATAATAAAACATAAGTTCCACATTATGTGATTAATTATTTTCTAAATTTCAGCATGCTCTCCTTGAATCTGAAGCTAATCAGATCCGCGCATCCATTCTCGACATGGCACACTGCATTCGCACCTTTACAGATGAAGTATCTGAGTATTCAAGAAAACTGGTGGGCATTGTGCAGCAAATAGAAGGTGGAGAACAGATTGTAGAGGATGGTATTGGAATAGCCCACACTGAACATGTAAGTGAGTAGTAAACAAAGAGTGCTGAAAATGATGAGTATATAGAAATGAAGATATTTAAAATCAATCTGTACCTAGTACACTTTTTTTACACTTGCCAAAGTAAACTTCCATGAGAAATTTAATGAAATTGTATTGATATCTACTGGGCCCGCCAAGCCTCTGTAGTTTAGAGTTTAGCCTTAAATCTGAGCTGAAAAATATGTTTTTCTTTAATAATATAAAAAATAATTATTTTAGCCCTATAGTGTAAATGGAACTTGAATAGAAATATGGACATTGCGTACCATTTTTATGTCTCTGTCATCATTAGTTAGAGATTAGATTAGAGATATGGTAAAACTGTAATTTGTTTGGGACTTTAAGGACCTTGAATAAGCAATAAGTCCTGAATTGTAACAAAAGTAGGGCCTTCAATACATTATGTAACTTGAAATTAACAAATTTAGAACTCAAAGACTTGAAAGTGTGAAAAGTTATGTCTTTAATACAGGTATAATTATATTATTATGACTGTCCGTTATCAGACGTGTACACTGTAACCTACAACCCATCAATAAGAAACTCCATCCATGCATCCATCCATTTTCTTCTGCTTATCCGGGGCCGGGTCGTGGGGGCAGCAGTCTAAGCAGGGACTCCCAGCCTTCCTTCACCCCAGATACTTCCTCCAGCTCCTCCAAGGGGACCCGAGATGTTCCCAGGTCAGCCGAGAGACATAGTCCCTCCAGCGTGTCTTGGGTCTTCCCCGGGGCCTCCTTCCGGTGGGACATGCCCAGAACACCTACCAAGGGAGGTGCCCAGGAGGCATCCAGAACAGATGCCCGAGCCACCTCAACTGCTCCTCCACTCCAAGCCCCTCCCGTATGACTGAGCTCCTCACCCTATCTCTAAG